TATCTGATTGAGCTAACATATATATAATATTTCAGCAACATTTTGACAGTTTTCATGTCAACAAGAATCTTACTGAGATTGTAAGAAGTGGCATATTTGAATATTTCTAACTAATTTATCTACTTGGAATGGCGGTCAGCATTCACTCTGGGTCTCATCTTCTTTCTAAATAGGTTCTTGGCAGAGGTTCAAAAGCTGACACCTGATATGCCTGATCTCCAAAGAGAGGATTTCTCATTAAAATTTAGAAAATGTTAATGTCTTTTTTGTTCTATCTACACATTTTATTTTATTATGAAACTACTATGTGTTGTAGGGAGCATCTGACAATCAGTGAATTTTATACTCTTAAGTCTATAGCTACAGGCAACATACAATCTCACAGTCTCTTTTTTGCCTTTATCTGCACTGAGTTTGTATTCCTAGAAGCCATAAGCCTAGGCTTCTCCAGAGCTAATCGTCTCTCCTTCAGGCATAAACTGAAGAAGTAATCTCATTTTAAATAAAGAAATTTTTTATCCAAGTTGTAGACATTTACAGGCAAAAATCCACTTTTATCTCTAGGGTATGTTCAGCAGTAAACCCTACCTGGATCTTTGCAGTGGCCTTCCTTTTATACACAGGTTTCATTCTCCTCACACAGCACCTTTGTGGATCTCAAAGTAGAGGGACTTCAGTAAGTGCAATTTACAGTGTCCTCAAGAGTAACCTGTCTAAAGTGAATGTGGGCCAATTTGCTTTCAGTTTCCCATTATTAAAAAAAATGGGGCTATAGGTTATATTGCAATGTTTTCTAAATTGATTATCCAGAACAGAGGCTCAGTGTGATGCCAATTCTTTACATACTTTGCCAGACTAAACAAGTACCTTTGTGAGGTCCATCTATCACAATTTATGACACATTAAGCTAAATCTAATGTTCTCTCAGGCTGGTGTTAGGGGATTTTCAATATTCAAACTAAGAAATTGCATTTGGGGAAAGGGATTTCTCCTCTCTTTTCCATAGAATTTCTTTAATTCTGTAGTCTTGTTATGTACTATTGTACTTCTGTTATACTCTGGGATTAATCGCAGCTTGATTTTAAGCATTTGAAATCTTAACTGGTAGTAGGAAATGGCTTTAAATTAACATTGCATGAACTACTATAAATTGTTCACTGAAAAAGAGAATGTTTAATTATAAATGAAGGAACCTGCTTCCCAGTTGATTAACTATATTAAACACTTTATATTTTCAAAGCTCTACACTACTGCTAATAAGCTATTTCTCACAATGGTCACAGAGGGAGCCTAATACTATAACCCCCTATTTTTATAATTGGCGCACTTGACCCAAAAAAATAGATTGCCCATATTGGATCACATGGAAATGAAAAACTAGTATGAGGTTTCAAGTTCTTAATGTACCTGTGCCTAGTTTACAGAGTTATGCTCTTAGTTTTCTGAACAGCCAAAATAAATTAGAAAATGATTTTAACTGTCCTCTGTTACTATGGATAGGTACACACACACAAGCAGCACATGCCCCCCTCCCTTAGAATGTTACCATTCTGTGTACAAAACTGGATAGCTTATTATGGGATAGCACAAAACAAGCTGCACAAGATGGTTATCCAGCCAAAGGACCCGTGCTGCTTATTCTGAGCTTCCTTGATCACTTGCAGGACTCATTTGTCCCTCTTCCCCTTTAGAATCTGTCATTTGATAGACTAATATGATTGCCTTTGGCCGAATTATAAAATTATCTGACTCTGAGATCAACAAATGAGTTCATTCTTTAAAGCTCACTTGATTATATTGTTTTCTATAAAAATATAATTAAATCATACTTAATTTTATTCATTGATTGATTATTAGATTTGTAATTTTAATATTTTTACTTTGAATTTTCAGTTATTTTTATGAATAAGACAGTCCATAATATAAAATATTGATATTAATTTTATGTTTTTTATTAATTTTATGCTTTGAATTGTTTAATAGTTTAAACCTAATTCGTGTGATGAGTTTCCAGGTTTCTCAATGTCAGTATCACCTTAATATGTCACTATGCCTAAAATAGGGCTAGAAAGCATAACTGCCTAGTTAATCAATATTAGTCAACAATGGAAATTTCAGGGTTTTTTATTGTGTAGTTACATGGCAGCTGACACATAACTTTGAATTAAATTTATTCTAAATATGCTGGCAAATGAAGCAATTGTTAAAGTAGCATAGATTTTTTTTAACTTTAAAAATAATGAATTGCTTGTTTAAAATTTTTATTTAGGTCTATCACTTCTCTATAGAAACAGGATAGAAAAGTTTTTTACCAAATCAAAGGAATCTCTTCATTTAAATGTTATAATGCTAACCAAAGTAAATGCTCCTTGAAATACTGCTTTTAGATCTCTTTTTAAAAGAAGAAAGATAATCTGCCTGGCTGGATGGTTCCATTGGTTGGAGTGTCTCCCCTACACCAAAAGGTGATGGGTTTTGATTCCTGGTCAGGGCACATGTCCAGGTTTCAGGTTGAATCCCTAATGCCCTGACACATGTGGGAGGCAACTGATTGATGTTTCTCTCACATTTCTGTTTCTCTCTCTTTCTCACCCTTCTTCTCCCTAAAATCATTTTTTTAAAAAGGATGTTCTATGTGCTATAGAACTCCAATTACATTTGAATTATATATGCACAATATTATACACCAAATATAGTAGCCAGATATAGATATTTTAGCACATTTCCCTTTCTACTAAAAATCATATTTTAGTGCCTATTAAAATATAAATATATGACTGTAGATAATATAATGCAATAATTTCTCCTAATTTTATCCTAGAGCCATTTACTAATAAAGACATGATTAGGAACAACTAAGCTTCATAAATTGTATTTTATTGTGGAAACAAACAATATGACAATATGATTTAAATATTTGTCTTTTGGTGTTTTCATTAAGACTGAAGCTTTGTTCATTTTGTAAAGAATACTTTGGTGGATGCCTCTCTGAGATTCAAACTTATTCACACTTATAAAACATTTCACATCATGCAGTATGTAGTTTTTCTTGACATAAGTATCATAAATGTTAGGCAGATAAATTGGACTATAATCTGTGAGTACATAATTTGCAATATGTGAGGGACAGGATTATGTTTATTTCTTTATCGCATGTAGTAAGTGTCTTGCCTAATGTCTATTCTTAAACAGGAACTCTATAAATATCTTTTGAACAAAAAGAAAGCAAGCAAACAAGCAAGACAGAAAGGAAAGAAAGAAAGAAAGAAAGAAAGAAAGAAAGAAAGAAAGAAAGAAAGAAAGAAAGGAAGGAAGGAAGAAAGAAAGATTGTTTTTGATGTTTGTTTATTTCTCATTAAGATGTAAACAAGAAAGCAGATAAAATATTTGGGACTCTAGAGTAAATAATGTTAAAAGCAAATATTTCTAAGATTTAAAAAGTGTATTAATCTTCAGTGCATTCTTTCATGGTTTTATATATTTCCATGGTGTTTCCAGGCCTTTATTAGACCAAATGAGAAAAATCTAGTTAAATTCAGGAAAGATATCCCAAAATACAATTAGAAGGCCTCCATTATTTGCAGGTTCTCTTTTTTGTCATTGTTGTTGTTAATTCTCACCTAAGGATTTTTTTTTCACTGATTTTTAGAGAGTGGAAGGGAAATAGAGAGAAATATATATGTGAGAGAGACACATCGATTGGTCGCCTTCACACACATCCTGACCAGGGCTGGGGATAGACCTGCAGCCAAGGTACATGCCCTTGACAGGAATCAAACCCAGGATACTTCAGTTCACAGGGCGATGCCCTTCCCACTGAGCCAAAGCCACAGGTTCTCTAAATTCACATCATTTTTACCATTGTCATTATAGAGTTAGGTTTATTGGTTAAAGTAAATAAAAAATTATTATTCTGATAATCATGTTTCACTGCATGTGCTTCATATCATCATATATAGATGATGATGTTAAGAGAGAGGGAAATGGGCAGGATATTTGAAAAGAGAAAAGTGTGTGCAGAAGAGAACCACTGCCATAAAAAAGAGCAAACTGTATTCCTTATTGTGTCCCTAGTGTAACTCAAAGTTCAGAACTGGAGCCCTCAGGAAACCAATAGATCTCCTCCAGAAGCCCTTGGTAGTCATCACTACTGGCCCAGGCTGCGAGAACAGCACTGAAGTTGCCCCAGAAAGCACTGCTGTAGGGATACAAACACAGCGGGCCTTCCAAGCCCCCTGCCAAGGTTCTTTTGGTCACATGCACAAGAGACTCAGCAAACAGTTTCAACAAGAAAACATCTATGTAAGGTGGAAGAGAGCAGTGACAGCGATGTTTTGAAAAAAAATTCCTTTTTAACTCAGGTTATTTCAATATATGAAAATGCTTCATGTTGTGAACTGACTTAATTCTTACAAATCTAGTTTTGGTCAGCATGTAGACTCAACTTTAGAAAATTTTCTTTAATGTGACATTTGTGCAATATTTGAGTTGTTTACAAAGTTTCGTAATTGAGGGATGAGATAAGTAGTGAATTAGCTTATTAAATATTATTATTTTAAACTCTAATTCATCATGACTTTATCTAAACAGATTACATTGTTCAAAGTTCAATAGCAACGGTGTTTATGTATCATGTATAGATTTAAAGCATTTTCACATCAATGGAAAATATTATCCAATTGATGTTTGAGAGCCTTGTGATTCCAAGAACTGAAATCAGTCTGTATGTGGAGAATTCCAAAGTAGCTTTGCTTGTTTTGCCAGCCTGTTACCAGATTGAATGATTGAATGGTTTAAAGTCTCTAAGTGACTTAGGTCTTTAGATTACTTCTAGATTATATAAGTTTTATTGATATGTACATTAATTGGAAATAATCAAGGTATATATATATATATAATTTATTTATTTACTTTATTTCAGCCCAGAGATAATTAGCTAGAGTGAATGAAATCCCTAGCATTGTGAAAGTAACACTATTTATGGAATTTTTATGTTTTAGCATTAAAAAAGGGACGGTTTTGGATCACACCAGATCCTTATCACAAAGATGACAACATCCAGATTGGGCGTGAGGTGAAAATATCTTGCCAAGTAGAAGCTGTTCCTTCTGAGGAGTTAACATTTAGTTGGTTTAAAAATGGCCGTCCACTAAGAAGCTCTGAACGGATGGTTATTACACAGACTGACCCAGATGTGTCTCCAGGAACAACAAACTTGGACATCATTGATTTGAAATTCACGGATTTTGGGACATACACATGTGTAGCATCTCTGAAGGGAGGAGGAATAGCTGATATCAGTATCGACGTTAACATATCCAGCAGCACAGGTAAGCATATTTATGATACCAAAGGTGTTCATGTTGAGAATAATTTCCTTACCTTTAGCAGATGAAATAGCTTCAGTCAGCCTATGAACTATCTTATTTTTTAAAGCTTCCTAAAAACAAATTCTAACCTTCTGAATTACCAATAAATATCATGTTAATTTCATGTTAGATTTACATGAAATTTTATAGACATAATGCAAATAAAATTAATAGCACTGGCTTTGATAGATGTAGGCTTCTAGGTTAAATAGTAGCCATTTGTTTGTTTCATTTTATTTTTATTTCATTAATGAGAAACCTTTATTGCACTCTAAAAGCACATTAATAAATTTAAACAAGAAATGTCTAGAGTTAAGGCATTTTTTTTTATAAATTTTAAACTAATGGAAACTACTGGGTCCTAGGAAGAAAATACTGAGAGGAATTTGAGTATTCAAATACAAGATATGTAACAAATGTATTTTCCACCAACAAATACCAAAGATAAAGATGTTAAAGTTGTATCAGATGTGACTTTCCAAAGAACCTTATGATAGAATCTCTTCACAGTGAGAATGATTAAATATAAAATTATTCTGGAATGCAAGTCCTTCTTTTGGGGGTTAAAAATGAAAACATGTTATCAAATTTCTCTCAATTAAATGCACATCTGCACACGATGAAAATTAAATGGCTTTTGTATAGGAGGACACAGTAACTTAACTCTCTGGACGTTTGAAAGCCTTGTGATTCCATGAACTGCAGTCAGTATGTATGTGGAGAATTCCAAAGTAGCTTTGCTTGTTTTGCCAACCTGTTACCAGATTGAATTGTAAGATTTTTATATGATCTTAGGGTGAATGATATGTGTTGTAAAGAGAACACAAGTGTAGTTAGCAGACATAGTCTGTCTTGAGGAAATTTAAATAGTCTTCTTTTCTAGTCAGGAAGCTTTTTGACTCTTGTATGGGATCAGATTGACCTGTGTGGGTTTTTGTTTTGTTTTGTTTTTCTCAGGTTCCAAATTGCAGTTTATACTGGATTGATTTTACTCCCTGAGGAATATACATCCAACTTTAGACTGACCAAATGTTCTTACTTTTCACCACTCTGCATTATTTCTAAGGGATATTTGATTTTTATCAGCCTCAATTAATATAAATGGTAGTCAGAGTGATGGGACAAATTTGGGGGAGGCAAGTGTCCTTTTCTATATAAACAATAACAATAACTATTTTTTTTAATATTTCAAAGTTGGTGCTAGCACTAGGGGATGGACTCAATTTAGGATATCTAATGGAAAGCTGTTGATACGTTCAGTCAGTCATTATTTGTATGTAGTCATTAAATCAGCAAAGAGCCTACTTGCCTACATCATTGCCCTAGGGCAGTGATGGCGAACCTATGACAAGCATGTCAGAGATGACACACGAACTCATTTTTTTGGTTGATTTTTCTTTGTTAAATGGCATTTAAATATATAAAATAAATATTAAAAATATAAGTCTTTGTTTTATTATGGTTGCAAATATCAAACAATTTCTAAATGTGACACAGCACCAGAGTTAAGTTAGGGTTTTTCAAAATGCTGTCACGCCAAGCTCAAAAGGTTTGCCATCACTGCCCTAGGGCCTAGGTGATATCTCACATATGATTTTTCCCATAAAGTAAGAATAATTTTGTAAGATCCAAGATCATTGTCCTTGTTTGTAAGGGTCAGTTTTACAGAATTTATGTACATTTAATTATAAGCATTGCTTTGTGTTGTTGGTTGTTTGTCTTGTTTTATTGCTTTTTTAAAATCAGTGACACAAACCTAGCTCCTATTTAACAAGACTCGTCAGGTGGAAAACAGTTCTTATACAGTTAAACATATACACAAGAGGGAGCACAGGATGGAGAAAAGAAAGGAGCATTATATAGTTATTCACAAAAATGAGCCCTAACATTCATTTCTAAATATATGTAATATTTTCTGTTTGAAACTGTATATTGTAAATTACAAAGTGGTGAAGATAACCAGCAGTGATTCAGGAAATTTTCAAAAATCCTAAAAGGAAAATGACACAAGATAATCATAAAAGCAGAAAATACTCAAGAATTGCCTCTTGATAATAATAAAAAATTACTTGTTATAGTTAAAGTTTCTTAACTGTTATCATTTGGTCTGATTACCAAAGGTTTAGAATATTGGAGATCAAGTAGCTATATTAAGTCCCCCTCCAACACACTGCCCTTTGCTGTCCCCACCACCACAGACAGACCTGGTTATTATCTGTCTCCTTTCTAGAGTAAAGTCCTCCATCAATGTAGGGACTTAACAGCATTGTTCACTGTAATCTCAGCATCTGGTACAATGCATGGTATTTAGTAGATACTCAGTAAATAATTATTAACTGAAGAGTTGAGCTAATCTGTAAATATAACTTTCCTTTTATATTTTCTTTCCTCCTCCTATTACCCCAGCAAGAGAGGCATTTGATATCTCTTTTCATGCTCTTGCTGAAATTTCCTACTGATTTTAAGAAATTATTCACTTGACCAATTAATATTATGGTTTCATGTAATCTCACTCTCATCAGCAGGTGTGGCTCCCTTATTTGTGGTGTCCAGTAAAATAAAAATTGGGTCCCTTGTTCAGAACTTGTTAAGAATTTCATGATGGCAACATGAGAGCATTAAAGCAAGCACAGGGCCCTTCTAAGAGTGACTGCACAGTGACATGCTCATGGGACTGGCCGGCACATGGGATTGTAGTTTGATAGAGGAGTCCTGAAAAAGTTGATGTTTAACCTAAAGGATGAGTCATTGAAGATGGTGACATATTCTGTCTTCATGCTGAAACTGGCTTTGGTGTTCCATTTTGCTTACGGTACAGTGGAATACCACAGTATAGTATAAAGATCTGTACATCTGAGATTGATTGATTTAATTGATATCAATAAAAATTATTTTATACCCACATAATAGAAGACGACACTTAAAGTAGTACTTTAATATAACATATAGAGATGTTCCTGGAGATAGAGCTTGCATGAACAAGCTATATAGCATATTGAGAAAATCTTGGATGATATCAATTCTATGAACCATATAGGATTCAGAAGAAATTACCACAAATTGGTGAGTGAAGTCAAAGAGAAGAATGTGTACTACTGTTAAGACATAAGTAAATATGTGGGGGCTTCTTAAATCTCAGATGTTTTGGTTTTACTATTATTATTTTAGGGAATTTAGAATTGATAAAATCTTCAGAGGTTTTCTTATGTGTTAAACATTTTCTTTATGGTAAATGTAAGCTACTCTTGGGTGATGTTTTAAATATTAAAAAAAATTATCAACTGTTTTCCATACAAAATCTTACATTGAAGAGACATATATGAAACTTATGAAGATAAGGATCAGATAGCAGAAGGACTTCTGCCTAATACAGTTTGAAAACCATTTTCTTAAATGATGAGCCACAGCTCTAGATATGTTTTTGAGGACTCTTAAAATTGAAATATGAAATATATCAGGAAGGTAAATTCTAATTTACATAATTACTAGAATATTTAAGAAACTATGATTTGATTTTAGAAAAACTTTGTAGAAAGAGCCTAGATGGGAGTTTGCCTCATGCATTTGATTGAATAATAAAAACTATGATATATGTAATGATAAATTATGTCTTATTTTCACACTAATTCAACAATAGAAGCATTTTCCTCCTAATTCTTTACTCATTCAAATTGTTTATTGTGATCATTTATTGTCTTGTCATTTTAAAATTTGTTTCTTGTAATTATTTTATTGCGTTACTGCTCTGTACCTGGCTCTGTGTCATATGGTGACAGAAAAAGAGGCCTTGTCCTTAAAGAGCATATGATCTAAGTTATCAAATTATTTAGTGGTCAGATGACTTAGAAATAAAGCACAGTATATAGTGGGATAGAAGCTGTTATTAAAGTTTCGTCAGACTTTTGTAGGAATTGTGAATGCTTTTGTCAATGTGGTCACAGGAAAGTTTCACAGAAAAATGACACTTGAGTCAAATCTTCATAGAAATAGCACTATGATAGTGACAGTGAAGAGAGGGCCCATTAGGCAAAACATAGTATGAGGAAACTTTCCAGAATGTTACATGATTCTTTATTTCTTGCTTTTACTGTAGGGTTAATATTAATTAATATCAATATAAGCAAAGTATATTGATTTACTTCAATGTTTTCATTATCATTTCTTAAGCTAGATTTTTATCTAGCTAGACAGCAAATAACTAAAAACACATTTGTTGTAAATTTATCAGTTAAAATTATGCATAATTGTTACAATTCAATTTTGTAACATGAAAATTCTCCACATACTTGCTGAAACAGGCATGTGAATTTTAGCCTAAAATTTTGACAAAAGTGAAAATCAATCCTTAAAATAGTGTCACTCAGTTGTTATCATTTACATAAATATAAACGTTATAGCAGACTTTTAACATTCAGAAGGCTTGCTGAAAAATACTCCACTGCTTCTTCCAGTGTCTTTTTATGGCCAAGTCCAGGCGTGCTTGTTCGCTTGCGTGTGCTGCTTTGCGTGACCTGACAGGCTTGTAGGTTTATGGTAAACTCAGAAGCATCTACATTATATCTAAGACATGTAAACAGTGAGAATGGAGATCTGTGGAATTCCTGTGGTAAAATATCTGGTGGGCAGCTATACCAGAGGGCTCAATACCAATGTGATAACATCTTCCTACCTTGTTAGAGTATACAAGCATTTTATATAACAGAAAATTAAGCTGGATTTAGAGGATTAAACCAGAGGTCAAACCATAAGGATATGTGCATGGAGGTGACCGATGGAGAGAATTAGCTTGAAATTTGAGCTTTGCTGCTGACTACCTGGCTGGTTACTACATTTATGATAGTAAATGTCTGTACAAGTATTCACATCTGTGAAATGAAAGTTCTTGATAACATGGGCCTGTGGCACACAATTAATAAGAACATGTGATGAACAGAGGGCAAAAGAAAAATTATTATGTCCAT